GCTGCCCATTGTGTTCAACAAATCAATCTCTGGGTGTTAGACCATCAGGCTCAGATTTCCTGTTAATTTTGGCTGAACATAACCCTAATCCACTCACAAAATGATCTCTCCTTCCTATACCCCCCCTCACCCCGGCTCTTCACACTTGACAATGCCCGTTTCCCATCCAGTTTCCACGTGATCCTCCTAAGCAATCTCTGAGCAGTTAAAGGCTTCTCATCCTACCCAGCCAAACCGGGAGCCCGGGCAGCAGCATCTACTCTGTACTCTCCCTCGATCCAGTCTGACCTCTAAGCTTTCTCTTCTCCCAACTTAGGGTCCCCCAATTATACCCAGTGCTTTCTAGCCTCTTGGTCATAAGAGGACCCCTGGCAGCCTGCTCCCTGGTCTCTTGCTCATTGTCTGGCTGATTACTCCACTCTCCATCACTCGGTCATCTCTCTCTCAGTGCCATCGAGGCGATGCTGACTCCTGTGAGTTTCCGAGACTGTGACTCTTTACGGAGTAGAAAGCCCCATCCCTCTCCTATGGAGTGGCTAGTGGTTTTGAACTGCTGACCTCTGGATTGCAGTCCAAGTGCATAGAGGCCCTATTCACCCCCGCCCACTCACCAAGCTGGCATGTGTCGTAGAAAGCCCTGGCCATCTGTGCAGCTTGACCTCTGCCTCACTGCTGCTCACACGCAGGCCTCTGGGCCTCTCTTTCCTTTGCTTCCCAAAGGCGGACGGACTCCTGCTATGCCTTCTCCAACTGCAGGACGCCTTCCCAGACACACCCACAGCACCAGCACTCTAGTCTGGGAAGGCACCGGGGTTTGCCTCTGGTCCTGCACGTGATGTCTCTCTGGTCACAAACTCCGTGAGAGCCTGGACGATGCCTGATCTGTGTTTATACCCAAGCACGTGGCATAATGCCTAAAATGGGAGAGGGAAGGAACAGACTCTGTTATACATATACAAGCTTCACTTGGTTTTCTTTCTCTAGGGGACCCCAAACCAAAACCAAACCCACTGCCATTCAGATGACTTCCGACACGTGTCAACCCAATATAGGGTTTTGGAGACTATAAGTCAGGCGTCCTCAAACTACGGCCGGCAGGCCACATGTGGCCCACCGAGGGCATATATCCGGCCCACCGGGTGTTTTTGCCCCGTTTTGGTTTTTTACTTCAAAATAAGATATGTACAGTGTGCACAGGAATTTGTTCATAGTTTTTTTAAAAACTAAAGTCCGGCCCTCCAACGGGTCTGAGGGACAGTGAACTGAGCCCGTTTAAAAAATTTGTGAACCCCTGCTATAAATCCTTATGGGAACAGTCAACCTTATCTTTCTTTCAAGGAGAGGCTGGGGGGCTTGAACTGCCAAGCTTGTGGTTAGAAGCCAAATGCTTATCCCACAGCACTGTTCAGCTTCGTCTAGGGAACCCAGCCTAAGACTACAGACAAAGACACCGAGGTTCAAAAAGACACAGAGCTGTGCCCAAAATACAGAGCAGGGTTCTATAAATGTTCTCTTAATGGGCCACATGGTCATTTGTTAGGCTCATGGGCTACTCGTCTGTGTGGCAACTACTCAACTCTGCCCTAGTGTGAAAGCAGATACTGTGTAAATGACCGGGCAGGGCTGGTTGCCAAGAAAAACTTGGTCGTGCAGTTTCCCAACTCTTGAACTAGAGAAGTGACTTAGGCATACGGTGACAACCTGTGAATGCAGAGCCAGGACTGCATCCCAGGCCCACAGGGCTTCCTCCACCAGCAGCACTGCCTTCCAAGATCCACAAACAGCTGTAAATGGAACCTGTTAATGCCTGGTATTTTCCCAAGACAGACTAGGAGACAACTAGGAGGCAATGAATGAAAAGAGCCCAGAGCACCGAGTAACTAAGAGGGATGGTAGGGAAAGTTTCGTTTTCAAAGCCACTCCGAGTTCTGCCAGTTGTCAGTCTTTGGGTCTGGGTAGAGTGGGCATGGAGAGGCTAAGCCGAGCAGCTATCTGTGAGCACGGCTTCCCTGTAACATGTTTCTCTACCTAACCAGTCTTCGCCTCCGATCACAAACAAAAAGGGCTGCCTTCTTGTTAAATCCTTTTCTCCTTGACTTCCCACTCAAATCATTCTGACTTCCAGAAACGTTCTGTCTCCTAAATTGCCCAGTTGTCCAAGTCTCATGATCTGTTTTTAGAATCCGTCTAGAAGTAGGTACAGGTCTAAGGTTACATGTATGCCTACAGGTAAATCTACAAAGGCTCCAGTGCTCTTAGGACAAAGTCCCAAATCCTAAGCCCAACGGTCACTTCTCTTGGCTCGCCCGCCCCACACTGTTCTCCACCCAGAGCCAGACTAGCTCCTTTGAACAGCTCGTTGCAGGCTCCATGCACCAGCTCTCTCGCCGAGCTCATCCTTCCTCCGCCCTTAACCTAGCTAGCTCCTCGTCAGCCTTCAGCTCTCAGAGTGGATGCCAATTCCTCAGAGAGGAACCACCCAAAGCTACACTCAGCTCATGCAGGAGGCTGTGGTACCTGCCCCTCCCCGCTGGGCCTTCACACTCATCTGCCTATTTCTTTGTACAACCAACCTGCAAGGCCAACCTCCATGAGGGAGGTACCAGGCCCATTATGAGCATCTACTTTGCTACATGAATTAGTAAATGGCACACTGTGAGTCCAAAAGCCAAATGAGGGTTTCAGATATTTCCTCTGGCCTCCCAGCTATAACATGTTGGCTCCAAAGAACAAAGATGAGTCTCACAGATAAGAGGATTAGGTGCTACCTCTCTGGCTTCATTTATTTCACACCTCTGAATCTTTTCTAGAAAACAGCATTTGGTGGCCCATGATAGAGGCACAGGTGACCATCAGGATCCCACCCAGCTCCCCTGGAGGGTTTCTGAAGGTTCCAAAAGGTGGAGACAGTAAGTCATGGTGTTTCTTTTGCCTTAAAAGAACACAATGGCAGTTTTAAAAAAGAATCAGACGACAATGAATAGACTCCTGAACTAAACTCGGGGAGAAATACACTTGAAAAGGAAGGAATCATCTCAGGTCTTGATGTGCCTAAGAATCTGTCAGCCAGGAAATGATCTGAATGCTCAGATGACAGCCTATCACTAGGCACAGAGTCTATCAGTAACTTCTTACGGACCCGAGTTCAACTGCTGAAAGTACTATGACTGTGGAAAGATAAGGTGGAATAAGAAGGGGGGACCAGAAGAAAAACAATAAAAGTTGAAGGGCATTGTTTCCAGGACAGACAAAAGCCCATGTGCCAAAGCTGTGGCTGTGTGAATGCGACAGAGAGCAGGAGGGTAGCCTGGGCCCCACGGGTTGCATACAGTGCAGCCCACATCTCTTTTTTCTTTTTTTAATCATTTTATTGGGGGCTTATACACAACTCTTATCACAATCCATCCATCCATCCGCTGTGCCAAGCACATTTGTACATTTGTTACCATCATCATTCTCAAAACATTTGCTTTCTACTTGAACTCTTGGTATCAGCTCATTTTTCCCCTCCCTCCACTCCCCTCCTCCCTCATGAACCCTTGATAATTTATAAATTATTATTATTTTGTCATGTCTTACACTGTCCGATGTCTCCCTTCACCCACTTTTCTGTTGTCTGTCCCCCTGGAAGGGGGTTATATGTAGATCCTTGTAATTGGTTCCCCCTTTGCACCCCCACCTTCCCTCTACCCTCCAGGTATCGCCACTCTCACCACTGATTCTGAGGGGTTTATCTGTCCCTGTGTTTCTAGCTCTTATCTGTACCAGTGTACATCCTCTAGTCTAGCTGGATTTGTAAGGTAAGATTGGGATCATGATAGTGGGGGGGGGGGCAGAGGGGGAGGCATTAAAGAACTAGAGGAAAGTTGTATGTTTCATCGGTGCTACACTGCACCCTGACTGGCTCCTCTCCTCCCCTCGAACCTCCTGTAAGGGGATGTCCAGTTGTCTACAGATGGGCTTTGGGCCCCACTCCCATCTCTTTTAATCTGTGTTAGAACCAGTCCTTAAGAAACTAATCAAAATAAATGCCATCGAGTCGATGCTGACTCATAGCGACCCTACAGGACAGAACAGAACTGCCCCTGTTAAGTTTCCATGACTTTAGCTCTTTACAGGAGTAGAAAGCCCCTTCTTTCTCCTGAGGAGCGGCTGGTGGTTTCGAACTGCTGACGACCTTGCAGTTAGGAGCCCAACAAGTAACCACTGTGCCTCCAGGGTTCCTAGAACCAGCCTTTAAAAACCGGCTTAAATTTCAACCATCACTCCTTTGTGTCCTTAACAAAATCCAGCAGAGCAGCCTGCCTTTCCCCATCTCACTTCCCCGCTCAGAAGCATGCTTCGTGACGGAGCCCCTCTTCTCCCTGTTGAGAGAGAGGGGTCCAAAGACAAGTCCACCTCCAGAGGCCTTGGGGGAAGTGGAGTCTGCAGATAGTTACTGTCCTCTAATCAGTCATAAGAAGATTGCAGAAATTTCATTTCTGAGAATCATATATAAACTATATTCTCTCTAAAGTGCAGCTGGCCAGGGATCACTGTGAGTTGTGGAAACTCCAGGAAACCAGAACAGGTTGGAATCCATACTTGAGGTTTAAAACCTTCTCCCTAGGAAACTTGACTGATATGCAAATTGGGGGTGTTGAGAGCAGTGGCCCGGTGCATGCACACATCTATAAACTCTGGCGATTTCGTCCACGCTAGGACATGCGGGTGTGAGAGCTGGCCCCCTCAGGTGTGGCTGGAAGCAAGCCGGTCACAGAGCTGGACCTGGAGTTATACCACCACAGCTCAATGATCTTCTCGTCAGCGCCCTTGGCACTGGCCTTGCCTGGCTTCCAGCTGCCATCAGGCTTGGCCAGGGTCCTGCACGTGGAAGCACTCGGTAAGCTACGGAAGGCTGCATGTTACAGTTTCATTCAGAATTCCACTGTTCGGTAGACTTGCTGTGTTGATGGCTATCCACATAGCCCCGCCACAGATCCGCTCTGTGTCTGACTTACCCGTGTTATTTCTGGCCACAAGACCCTTAGAAAAATCCCCAGGAGTCGGCGAGGTTCGGCTGTCCCAGTTGACCATGTCGAGACTATTGCAATATTCCCATCGCTTCTGCTGAAGCTCCTGCAGCCAGTAAGTCATGAGCTGACGGTTAGGAGCCTGGGAAGAGAAGGGAAAATAGGATCATGGCCATCAGTGAGTAGTACGGTGAGCTGGGGTGGGGGGCTGGGGGGCTGGCACTCCATGAGGGCAGACTGCACACTGCCCCAAGAAAGGAGGAGTGAAGGAGCACAGGTCAAGGAAATCCCTAGTTAGAACACTTCTGCTCACAAGTTGGCCAAGAAAAGAGCTAGTCTGACACAGAATTTAACACACAGACTAGATTTTTAATTCTAAAAATTGGAGAATAATAATATAATCCAAACACCCCCCCATCCCACCAGGGGGAAATTGATTTTTGGAACATTTAATAATCCTGTTCCCTGTTCACTCTGAGCACTATAAATCCCACCTTGAGGGAAATCCCAGCTCTCCGTGTAGAGAGCACATCAAGCAGTGGTACTTAAACTCGGTGCACAGAGCCCCGCAGTCAATGCGATGGCACACCTCTCTGGATGGCTGAAGTCGCACAAACGGAATTCCCACACACAGCAACTCCTTATGTAGTTACACAGGCACTTGCCAACTGACCCACAACCCCACCCCCAGGTATGTACCCAAGAGAAACAAAAACTGACTCACACAACACCCTCGCAGTCGATATTTATGGGAGCTTGATTCACTCAAAGTTAAAGACAACCAAATCTTCTTCCTCTAGTCATTGGGTGCATGAACTGTGCCACATCCAGTTAGCAATGCACTAGTACTCCACAGTAAAGAGAGTACACTA